CGCTTGAAGGTCAAAGTACCAAATGAGATGAGCTAATGAAGCTTATTATCGATTTAAAGCATACAAGAAAATCAAACAAAAATTCCTTGCGAACGTGAGAGTAAAATAAAAATCGCCAAGTCGAATATAAATTTAAAGCTTCAGCTGGTGAGAAATGGAATTAAATTATCGATTCATCCGTCATAACTATTTATGGATTTTAAGGGCTAGCATAGATTAAGTTTTTGCATTTGACTTAGAAAACAATTAAAGCCATTGGCAAGCATCGATTAAAGCCATCTGCTATCATGCTTATGGACAGTGTGAATAGAATCAGATGCCTGTGCCAGCTACTGGTATCTTTTACCAAAGCTTGGCAAAGGCTAAAATTAAATCAAAGTTGCCCCTCCCCTACATCGAACATAAGCCCGGGATCTCTACCAATAAGCATCGGCTATCAAAGGTTATTCTGTCGGTATAAACAAGTTTCCCGAACTTTTGCGTAACTGTGGCAATGAAATCAGAGTGCCCCTCCCACCCTACTCCCTTTTGCCTTGCTATAACAACCTTTGGTCAGTCCACTTGTCCTCTAACCCATTACAAATTTACACTCAACTTGGGGTCATGCCGCCAAAGTACTTGGGTAAGTACCCGCTCGCCGCTGCGCGAGTGCGGTAAACTTGAGAGAGCTGAGCTTCAATTTGCCCATAGGGACAGACTGGCAGGGACTGTCCCTGTACCCTGTGTCCCGTGTGTGTTCGTTACATAACTGGCGATAATCCGGCGGAGAATTTCAATTTGGCATTCAGTCTAAAAAGGCTGTTGGGAGGGAGGGAGGAAAAACCACATAACATATCTATCGGGATTTGTATGCCGCTCCCACCAATTAGCTGACAAATCGGTTTCCTGCCAGATTAAGCTCCACTCAGTCCAGGGACATCCCAATTGTATGTGCCACAAAACTTGATTGGAATTTATTGTGGTTCACATTCTGGGTCCGAATGCGGGCCGGACTGGATATCGGTCGGAGCTGAGGGCCCCCACAAAAGGGATTCCATAAATATTTATGACCGAAACTTTTATGGGCTAAAAAGTGAATTGGTCGTGTTTGCTGCTGATGTTATCCCCTTGCCATGGTCTTCACTTTAAATTAGGCAATGACAAGTCGGATACGATGTGTTATGGGGAGCAGTTCCGATTGCCTGCACGGTTCATGTGCAGGACAATGTCAACGGCCCCGGCACCCGGTCACGGGTGCAGCGAGGAGCACAAAAAATTGCAGCCACAAACCAATTTTTTATAGCGTCGGTGCGCAGGGTGGTTGGTTTTCTTTATTAACTTTTGAATAATTTATAACAGGTTGGCCTGATGGCGGTCTCGATTCATCAGTGGGACATTAACCGCGAATGGTAAATGCTCTGTTTGGATTTGTTGCCAAAGTTTCCAAGAAAAACTTCTCGGATCTCGCAGCAAAACATTTCAAAGGAATTTTCTATTATTGCAATTGCAATTAGATGGCAAACCTTACAATCTCTTTGGCGAAACAGTGTTAAATTTCTGCTTTGATGCATCGGACGAGTTACAAGGAAAAGCTGTGTGCGGCTTAATGAAAAACATTTCCCCTGAATAGGAAAAGTACTGCAACTTTTTGAAAAAAATTTCACTGAAACTGTAATAATGCACTGCGTAGGATGGATTCATTGGTCGACTTGAGCAGGAAAAAACTCTTGGAACCATGACAAAAACATTTCACTGAAAGTGTAATTGTGCGATGGGTGGAATTGCAATGGCAGCTACCAGGAAAACGATTCGAACGTCTGCTTATGGCAGGCAACTGTAGCACAGGGAAGCTCTTTAAATGCAAGTCCGGCTAACCAACTATTCAATAATTGAGTACTTCACCTCAATTTTTAATTCAGGCTTGAAGTTATATGGCAGAACCATTTTTATGGGTAGCTTTGACAAATAAATTAAATGATTTCATGGCAATAAATTAAACGATGGAATTAAAATATCGCTTCTATCTTTGGTATGTCAATGGATAGGCATCCCATTTAGTGGCAGCATAAAATAAATAAACAGAGCCCAGATTTCAATACTGAAAAACACTGAAAATCTATGCACGAAACTCGAAACACGAATGATTCAATAACTTTAAGGTTCTGTAAATATTTAAGTTTGGGTTATATCAATCGCTGATATCGATATGCCCAGCCCCACGCATCGAATACCCTACTGCAGCGCAGCAAATATCAATATCAAAAAAAATAGCCACCAAGGACATAACCGTAAAACAGCATAATCAAAAATGTTTAAACTTTATGTCCCGCAGCACGAAAAAATGGTTCCAGATGGCAAATGGTAAACAGAAATCTGGGATAGACAGTGGCAGGGGGGGTCGGTCGGTCGGTTGGTCGGCTGTGTTCTATACATACATACATACATACATACATACATATGTACATACATATGTATAGAATGACTCACCGTATATAGGCCCGTTGCAGTGGCCCCCGACGACGAGGAGGATGCTGCTGCTCCAGTGCTGCCGTAATTGAGCTGTGAGTGATAGCCGCTGGAAAGGATCTTCTTGTGTGCGGATGCATGCGCCCGATACGCGCTCACGCTCAGTTTCATTGTGGCATCAACGCGATGCCCCCCACGCCCCCACCTACTGTGGGCGTTGCCACTTGTAGTTGGATTGGTGTTGCCGTTTGTGTGTGTGCTTGCCCCTGCGTGGGCGTGGTCGCTTCACTGCTCAAATGGTCCTGCTCCTGCTCCTGCTCCTGCTCCTTCTTCTGCTTCTGCTTCTGCTGATGTTGTTGTTGTTGCTGTAGTCGCTTTCAAGTTGCGTTGAATTGGGCTTAATTGAGTGCCCAGAGGCGGCTGACAAGGACGACACCGTTTTGGGTTTTCTGGCTAACAGTGGGTTAGGCGTTTTTGGCCAGAGAGCAAAGCAAGAATGTGTCGACACCCAGAAACAAAGCAAACTTTTTATTGCCGCCTTTAGTGGTGCTCTTGCTCGTCCTCCTCGTCCTCCTCCTCCACCACCACCACCACCACCACCTCCACCGCCTTTGCCTGGTGGTGCTGCTGTCGCTGTTGCTATTGTTCGTTTGCCTGTTTGTGATGCGACAGAAAGACAAAGGTCCTGCCTGGCAATGGGTGGAATGCAGATGATGGACTATGTGTCACTCTGTGGACTCTGGTGTGCCCGCTCTGGTCTGCTTCTGGGGCCGCTATTTAGTTTTAGTTGGTCATAAACGTTGCTGCTGCTGGCATTGGGGGGGCTGCTGCGTTACTCCTCCACCTTCTGATTTTCTCGTTACAATTCCTGCTGCTACTCCTCCTTTTGCTGCTCCACTCACTTCTGTTCCTTTTCTGGGCGTTCTGTTTCTGTGTGCGGGGGTCGGGTGAGGTCCTGTCCTGTTTTGCTTGTGGGTGTGCCGCCTTTACCGTTGTCAAGCTTTATGGAGGATCCTTGGTCGTGTTCTCTTTTAATTGTTTGTAATTTGGTTTTTAGTGCTCTACGGTTGCTTCTGTTGTTGCTGTGTCTTTTGTTGCTGTATTTGGGTGTTGCTGCTGTTTTTGTTGCTAAGGCCTCATGTCACTTTAGTTACAAGTATCTGTAGCTGTTGTATCTTCTGCTGCTGCTGGTGCTGGTGCTGCTGCTGCTGTATCCGTTGTTGCTGTTGTATCTCCCGTTTTTGCCTGCAGCGAAGAAAACATTTAGCTAAGTAAACATTAAAGTGGAAATTAATTAAAATGTCTAACGTTGGGTGTCGTGTGTGTGTGTGTGTGCGTGTCGTCCAACTTTCAGCTCATTTGGGCTTTGGATCGGTTTAGTTTTTAACTGAATTCCTCGAGCAAAAGTCGTTTAAAGGGCAGCCACAATTTGCACCCTCCTTCCCGCTTCCCGCTCCACCCTCATTTGTGTGTCTATTACCCACACTTGTTATACCCTTGCAAAGGATATTATTGCAGTTCCATGTTTGCAGCGCAAAGGAGTTTTCCACTGAAAACTGTTCGAGTTACACAGCCACGAGTAAAAATCCAATCAAATGAACTTTGAAATAATAATTATTTATTAATTAATTGAGCGAATTTAAGAATTTTTGTTCGCAATTTTTGAAGTGTCTGTTTTTGAGATACGCATATTGTATATTCAGATCTAATCTGTTTTTCTTATTTTGGAGCAATAAAACGAGTGCGTGCACTACCATCTTTGGCATTGATATTGTACTGCTGTGATAGAGCCAAGCATATATTTATTTTTTTTTTTTAAACTAAATATATCAATGTAAATTATTTCATTGCCCAAACTATGCTAAAACCAATCTATGTGCGACTTTTACCTTTCTGATATTGTAATATAAGTGATTTGGTTGGTTTAGTCGGAATTGCCCGTATGGCCAGGCAACTTCGAAATGTTTTTTTTTTTTTTTTTTAAACTTTTTTTTTTTTTTATATGTTCTTTTATAGCTTAGTAGCTAAGGCTAGGGCTGCCCGAAAGGCCAGGCAGCTTCTGTGTCGGTCCATGAAGGGCATGGCCTTTTTATGCTAATTGGAATGGTCAGTGCTTCAGGTTTGACATTATATCGGCAGCAGAGCCGATCTGCTATCAGCGTCGTCGCGTCATCATCTTCGGCTTGTGATAAGCACAGATATGCATACGTATATACGTATGCATGTGCACACATAGCGGCAGCGCAGCGCCGACGAAGCGACGACGCTAACTTTGGCACGATCGGTCTATGCTTGCCGTTTATGTTTATACAAATGTTTTGTTAATCTATTTGCTAGTTCTTATGAGTAACTGCTTATACTACACCTCCCTTTTTAAGAAGAATAATGTAATTATTCTTTAAGTCTGGGAATGTTATTCTTTTGTTTTATACATACATATATCTAAATTTATTTATTTAAAATATTTTATCTATTTTTTTTTTTTTATATATATATTTTTTTTTCTTAATCCTTATAGGCTAATTTTAATCGATTTTTGTGTACTATTATTTTCTTTTTGTTATTTTCTAATGTAAAATTATGTGTTTCGTCTATGTTTATGACTTTATAGGGCCCTTTATAAGTGTTGTCTAACTTATGTCCTGTTTCGTTTTTGACCAAAACTATATCTCCTAACTTAATTTCAATACTATTTATATGTTTGTCATAGTTGTCTTTCTGTTTGTCTTTTGCTTTCCTTATAAGCAAGTTTGCTCTCTTATGGGCTATTTGAAGTCTATATCTAACCTCTTTGTCGTAAGCTTCATAATTATATAGTGGACTTACTATATTAGTTTGTAGAAATGTGTAGTTTGGTGAATTTTTTGCGAATACCAGTTCGAAAGGACAGTAACCATGCACTGTTGATGGAGTTGTATTATAACAATAATTGAAATATTTTAACCATGTGTCCCAGTCATCTTTTTCTGTTGATATGTATGTTCTAACGTATTCATTGAAGCTTCTATGTGACCTCTCTACTGCACCCACAGTTTGGTGATGATGGGGAGTGGATGTTTTATGGTTAATTTTTAGCAATTTGCATAGTTCTGTGAAAATACTATTTTTGTATTCCGTACCCATGTCCGTTATGAGCGTCCTCATTGGACCATAGATAAGAATACAATTTTCAAATATGGCTTTGGCTACAACTTTTGCGTGTTTGGACGGTATTGGTATTGCTATTAAATACTTTGTTAAATCACAAACTACTGTTACCGCATATTCGTTTCCATTCTCTGATTTAGGTAATGGTCCAATTGTATCTATTTGTACGATTTCGAATGATTTTGTAGGGGTCTCTGTAATAATTAATGGTTCCTTGTTATGTCTGGTAGTTTTGTTTTTAATACAATGCGCGCAATGTTTAACATACTTTTTTATATCCTTGGTCATATTTTTCCAATGATAATTTTGTTTTATCTTGTTTGTTGTACGATTGATTCCTGGGTGGCCACCTTTAACAGGATCATCGTGAAAGTCTTTCAGGATTTTAGTGATCACTTTTTTGTCGTTTACATATATGGTTATTGGCGTTAACGCAATTTGAATGTCATTGAGGTGTTTATTTCCCATATGTTTAAATTCTTCTACCCGGGTATATTTAAACAGATTGTCGCCTAAGGACAATTGTAATTTCTTGATGGCCAAGTTACCGGCCGTCTTATTAAGCCTCGAAAATAATTGTTCTAAATCAATTTTCTCGGAAGTAACTAGGTCATTCAAGTTAATATAGCTCAAAATTTGTTTCCCTTTTTTAAATAAAAAATTAGGGAAGTTAAAAATAAGCTCGACATGTCGTTTAACTTCACATTTGTATAGCGCTTCGTAAACATTGGGAACCTCAAGACCGCCTTGGCTGTTATTTAGTTCTGTTATTTAGTTCTATTGTGGTTGCCGTCATTGTTGTTATTGTAATAATTTCTTCTGTAACTATTTCCTCTATTATAAAAACTACTACGCCCACGTCCCCGATTATTGTTAAAAGGGCGGTTTCCATATTTCCTTTGGTAAAATAATATGGTGTTTGTATGCCCTGTGTGTTGGGTGCAGGCATTTATAAATTTGGAAACTGCCTCATCCATGGTATTAAATGAACCTGCTTCCATGATGAGTTTAACAGTATCGATGGAGCAGTTATTAGTTATGGATTTGACAGCCTGTTGCGTAGAATATTTGGTTGCTAATTCAAAAGAAAGGCCATCTGATATGTAAGCCGTTTCAAGCAATTTTGTAAGGGACTCTACTTCTTTTGTGTAATCATTCGCTGTTTTCGATTTTTGTTTTAAATTCATTAACTTGGCAGAGAGTACTTCTACCGACTCTCCCTTGACCGTTGTTTTTAATTTGCTGATAATTTGTTGAAGGGTAGTTTCATTGCCAACGAAGTTACGGGCTGTTCCCTTTAGTTTTGTTTTTACAATGGCGACGGCTTGAATGTCGTGTACTCCTTTAATGGAGTCGACAAGTGTTAGGGCGTCTAAGAAACTTTGCAAATTTTCTGCCTTTCCGTCGAATTCCGGAATTAATTTACAGGCAGTGTTTAAAAATTCTACCACTGACTGCGCCATTGTATTAGAGTTTTGGTGTTCTGTCTGAAGTTCTTGAATTGGTTCTTCTTCTAGCATAATGAAAATTATGGGCTTGTTAATGCAGTTCGGGACTGTTATATTTAATGAGTGTTTATCTATTAAACTATTAAGTTTGGTCAAAATACGCTTATAAATGTCTACTATTTCATGCTTTTGTGAATTGTTATATATGGGTTCTCCTAAATGGATTAATTGTTTTATATTGTTCAACGTTTCTACCAAAATAAATGAATGCTTATTTATTGTTGTGTTTGAGATATATGTGGTCTTATTGAGACATTTATATGATTTCTCGAAATCCTCCTTGTACTGTAATATTTTTTCTATATTTAGTGACCATTCCATTACTACTATTCCATAATTTCTTATTTATTTTTTATTTATTATTTGTTCATTACCAATATCCCTACCTAATATTTTGTGCAGGATGTGACTCCATTTGCACTCTAGAAAGTCCTGCAGTAAGGGTACCGCAGTGCTTTTACAATTAAATTAATGTATACATATATGATTTAATTATTTTTATTCTTAATTGTGCACTTTGTTGCATTGTCGGGTTCCAGTTGTCATCCTTCTCTGTGATTCCAACGATGGTACAAGAGGCGGCCTATATGCCACTCGCACGTTCTTCAGGTTCAATCGATGCATTTGCAATGCATATAGTAATATTATTACTTTGTATTTGGTTTTGATTAGTATTTTTTTTTTTTGTTGATTGGTGTTCGTGTTGCGTGGAATCTCTTTGTCGTCGTTTTTGTTCAAATTTTTCTTTTAATTGGTCCAATTCTTTTGTTAGAATATTAGCATTTTCCCATGTGGGCGGTGGTTGTTGTTGATAGAGGATGTATTTGAGGTAGCTTATTCTTTTCTTGTCTTTGTATAGCTGGCCTCCTCGTTTTCGGGGTACTTTTACTATCGGTATGCGGCACAATTCAGCATCTTTTCTTTGCGCTAGACGCGCTTTATATTCCTCAATGGTTAGCTTAGACATTCCCTTTTTCTCTTTTTTTTTTTTTGAAACAAAACTAATATTAACCACGAACACGCACCTTTTATTTATTTTTTTTTTTTCTATATTTACGTATTTAGAAATACATAAATATTTTTATTTTCTTTTAATATATGTATTTTTATTATTATTTAGTTATATATTATTTATAAAAATTTTTTTTTTTTTTTATATATTTTTATATGTTTTGGGCTCCTGGCAGGATCGCCATGTAATATAAGTGATTTGGTTGGTTTAGTCGGAATTGCCCGTATGGCCAGGCAACTTCGAAATGTTCTTTATTTGTATAGTAAACGTTATGTTCTTTATATATGTTCTTTTATAGCTTAGTAGCTAAGGCTAGGGCTGCCCGAAAGGCCAGGCAGCTTCTGTGTCGGTCCATGAAGGGCATGGCCTTTTTATGCTAATTGGAATGGTCAGTGCTTCAGGTTTGACATTATATCGGCAGCAGAGCCGATCTGCTATCAGCGTCGTCGCGTCATCATCTTCGGCTTGTGATAAGCACAGATATGCATACGTATATACGTATGCATGTGCACACATAGCGGCAGCGCAGCGCCGACGAAGCGACGACGCTAACTTTGGCACGATCGGTCTATGCTTGCCGTTTATGTTTATACAAATGTTTTGTTAATCTATTTGCTAGTTCTTATGAGTAACTGCTTATACTACAATATTCCAATAATAAACCAACAGTTTCAAGTGTTTCTTCCCAAATCCCCTTTAGTTTCAATATATCAGAGAAAGAGAAATTAATAAATCTGCAAGGGTATCTTAAGCTTCGGTCCTCAAAATCTTACCTCTGTCTCTTGTTTGGATTGCAATTCAAATTAATATTGTTGGAGCAGCGCACACACACACACACAAACACACACACACACACACACACACACACTTACACTCCATTTGCAGTTAAATACAAAACTTTTCGCCCAAAGTCATCTACAATAAATAGTCTCGAGAGTTCTACGGAAAGGGGTGGCAGAGAGGTGACTAGGTGTATGTATGTGTGTGTGCGTGTGTGTGTGTCTGTGTGGTATATTCTGGGGGCAAGTAAAAGTTCATTAACTTTGTGGCAAGTTTGATTTGGGGCGTAATTGAAGCTTTTGCATGGAGAAGTTACTCGACTCCAGAGCACAATGATTGATGGCCGTGATTGATTGGTGTGCTAATCTACCCGTCCCGTATCAGCGAATTATTTTAGTCCACCTATTTAGGTTTTTTGGATGTATGTATGTATGTATGTATGTATGTATATATTAATGTGTCTTTTAAGCAGATTAGCCTCTGGGCATTGCCATTTATTAGTTAAGCTTTGCATCAGTGCTGAAAGTGGTCATCAATCATCAATAAAAATACCAATCAATTAACAATGATTGAATCTGTACTCATGAGTATCTTTTGGATTTTTGCAGCTATGAATCATTCGAACTTTTAATCTGATTTAATCTGTGCTCCAATCATTTAGGCTAGACAAAAGCTGATCTTGCATATTTGGCTCAATACTCGCCAAATCAGCCATCAAACCAACATCTGTGAATCAATCGAACCAAAGATCAATCAACATGCCATCAGCCATGTTTCACGCTGTGCGTCAATTCAATCAGTTGGCAATCAATCACGCATCATTGCCAATCAATTTGGCGCTTAATCGAATTGATTCAATTCTCTCATTCAGCGGCACTCACTTAGCATTCACTCGGCATTCATTACAGAGACAATGGCGTCGCTTTATGCCTTCCCACAGTGGCAGCGCATTTATTACGTTTAACAATGGGACAAGAGTATTCGTTATTAAAATACGTCCGCAGGGGAGTGGTGTGGTTGGCCACCCTGTGGTGTGGTTGCTGCTGGCTGCTTCAACTGAATAACAAAACACAAAAAAAAAAAAACCACAAAAAAATGTTCATGCCTCAAACGAGGCTGTAAACATGTCGCAAATGTAAATCAAATGTGTGGCAGACAGAGTCCCATGGATGGCCCCAAGAAGAAAATACTTACTTGTATTGTTCGTTCATTTTTGTAGCTCTCAGGAGTAGCTATGTATGTATACCTATGAAGTAGCCTTTAGAGAAGGATGGGAAGGGCATAAAGTTGGAGCAATTACAGCAGAGAATCCATTGAGCCGAAGGCAAACATTCAATCAAGACTGTAAATTAAATAAACGATGGCCAAAGGAAGGGCTCTGTGTCCCGGACTTTGTGCCACACTCAGCCCCGGAATTTGCCCCGGAATCTGTTCTGGAATCTGCCCCCAGACTCGGACTTTACTCCTGACTCTAGACTCCGGCTCCGACTCCATGAATTGCACCTGTTGGCATCCTATATACTACATACAACCAACGATGGCACATAAAATGTAATTATAAAGCATTCAAACATCCGCCAAGGAGATATAAACTTGGCCAAGCCAGAGGGGGGGAAACAAAGCGGTTAAATCAGGAGGGGACTGAGTGTGTAAGGCACTGAGAGGGACAGAGGTGTCGAGTGTGGGCCAAGGGGCACACAAAGTAAGAGACTTAACACTTTGTGCGAACGCTTAACCGGCTTACAGAGCTGAAGAACCCGCTGCAAGTTTTACGATCTATTGCCTGGTCAGGCTACCCATCAACATGCTAACGTGTATACATATTAAATATATAGGATATAATATATATATATGTATATGTATACGCAAGCTTATGTATGTATTGAATGTCTGTATATTTAACGTATCTGCGCATTTTTCCACATAAAACTCAATGAAGCATCCACTGACAGGCGAGAGATAAAGAATAAACTGGCAACGGCTGCTGCTACTGCTTCTACTTCTGCTTCTGCCTGTGCTGTGCTTTGCTGTGCTGTGCTGTGCTCCACTCCATCGCCCTCCTTCTGATTTCAATTTCAAAATGTACGCTCCATTGGGCAGTAAGGAATACCCATTCAACCTCCCGATACCCCGATACCCACGATACCAAACCCCCAAGCGTCCAACAAAAAAAAGTGACATTAAAAAATGGTAGCCACTTGTCAGCCTGGAGCCTCGAGCCCCGAGACCTGACAGCCGAACGAACACACACCACACCAGAACAGAGAGAATATTTATCAAAAACCTATCGTGTCGGGCCCATGCGTCGTATACGTAATGTAAAAATTCAAATTTTGAAACAGAATATCACACAGGAAAAAATACCAGCATTTGCAGGATTTTGATTGGTTTTTTTGGGTAGTTAATTAAGGGACATGTCGCTGAAAATAACGATGTGAGAAATTTACATTAAAATGCATAACTTTTTCTATATTTGGACGAAGTGATTATTTTTATATATATATTTTTTTTTGTTATTTTATGAATGCCTACGGGAATCAAAAGTATGGAAGGTGCTTAAAATAATACACCAAGAAAAAAATTTTATAAAAATGCGCAAAGAAACTTGAATAAAAAATGTATATACACACACACATACATATAGTATATACAAATTTGCATATCATTCATTAAGGTAAAAAGTATGCAAATTTTGCCATACAAGCATCATTTATAAAGCGAAAAAGTATTTCAATTTACATACGACGCGTCGTAAATATATATTTATTTTGCCGATGCATGCGTGATAAATCTTTGTTTAAAGGATTGAAAATATTTTCCGTAAATTGAAATCCAGCAAGTAATCAAATAAATCAAATAAAATATGGGGGACAGAAAAAAACACCAAAATGCTCATTTATTTAAAAATAGTTCTGCACAATATTCGTCCGGATCTTATTGACAAATTAATACTAAACTAAATCAGTGATATTTCATGAATAGAAGTAGCTTAAATGGACATAAAATAATGAATACATACGTATATTGTATAGACTGTTCAACATTGTAAGAGAATTGGTGAATTGACGTCTGAGAAAATGCAGATAAATGCGGAAAACATAGTAAATGGACAGCAGCACTGCTCAAATCAGTGACGGAATCTTGAATGGCTGAAAACCTCTGCATTCACTTGACCCAAAAAAAAAAAAAAAGTTCGTAAAAAAGTTACTAAAAAGATAGCCTGCCCCGCCCCGTGACTATCCCACAAGTCGCTAGTCAATTGCTATTTTAGTTGGCCAAGAATCTGGCCCAGAGTATTCAAGATTCAGCCAGATACTCGCACAATTGTCCTTGGCTTTTGTGCTCCTTCTACTCGTTGCGTGTTCCTTTTCGCAGTTTTCTTTTTCATTTTGTTTGGGAATCCCTTATCAACGATTATGTCAAATGTTTGGCCACTAAGTAGCCAAACTGTTGTCCACTAGGCCCGTCCTTTGTCCTTTTTGCCACTGCCGCTGCCACTGCCGCTGTCACTCTTACTCAGTCCCAGTCTCATTCCCAGCCTCATTTCTCAGTCTCAGTCTGTGTCTTTTCCATTCCCCTTGCCCCATTCTGATACGGATGGATTGCTTTTACGCTTGGCGTTGTCTCAAGACCGCAACAAGGAGCAGACAGGCCGCAAGCTCCAGTCGCTCCAAACGGCGAGGCAACAAAGAAATCCTGTTCTATGTTATGAATATGAAGTTATGTACACGAAGAGGACGCCTCTCCGGCTCAGCCAAATGTTGCCATTGCTCATGCATATAGCCCGACTTAAGTGATTCTGAATGAGGGAATGGGCAATGATGGTGGTGATGGTGATGCTGTTGGTTGATTTCGAATGAGATGGGTGGGGGCGACTGGGAGCGGAGGAGGTCAAGCAGCTGCCGCCGCTGCTGCTGTCCCCCCTGGCTGGCTCATGTAAATTTTGTAAACTGAGCCGAAGCATAAATTAGGATGAGACACGATTTGCATGAAAGAGCATCACCACCGCAGTGACAAGGATGAGCCCCTCAATAACTATCTACCCAGTCGCAGTGCCTCTGAAATTTCCCTCCCACGCCACCCGCTCACCCGCTTCCCCTGGCTTCGTGTGTCTCTTTTCTTGCAAAATTTCATGCAGAATCAACAGCCGTGGCCAAACCAATACCCTGGGGTCGTTCTTGCAAGATTGTCGACAAGGTGCTACCCAGATTTCTATTGGGGATGTTGGTGCTTCGACACTCTTTGCAGAAACTTTCGC